AGATGGTTGAAATCGAACAAGGACGCCAGAGCAGATGGATTTCATCCAACCTTCCTCAAATTTGCAGAACCTGCTGTTTTGGACGAGTTACATAAGTAATTAGTAAATATATGAGAGCAGACTGTCCCGACAGACTGAAGCAGCTCCGTAATAGTACCCATTTTCCCAATTGGCATTCATAGAGGAATCAATCTGATCTCCACTAACTCTAAGTAACTTGTGTCTGTCGTTCTCCATAGACTGACTGGCACCCGTGAAAGCCAGATGCGATGAACAAGCCGGGTTTCGTCGAAATCGTGGCTGCATTGACCACCTCTTCACATTATGTCAGTTGTTGAAGTACCGCCATGTTTATTGACAGTCCACTGTAGTCTTGTTCCTAGACACCAAAAGGGCCTTCGAATCGGCAGATCGATGCGCCCTTCGGGACGGTTTGGTAAGGAAAGTTGTGACCGAGAAACATGCAAATATCAAAAGAGCCCTATACACGCGTAGCTCGAGCAGAGTAAGGCTTTACAGCAAACTTTCACCGCCCCTCAATATCTCCAGAGGTGTGGTAAAAGGTTGGCCGCTATCATCTTTGTTCTTTAACTTCGCCATTGACGAAATCATGGAAAGGGAGTTCGTCGGAAACGACTTAGGTGTGGAGCTGCTCCTTGGTGACCGACTTCTCAAGTTGGAGTATGCTTACAATCTTGTGCTCAGTTGTGACAGCTGCCGAACGTGTCAAATTGCACTACATAAATTAACTTTGACTGTCAGTCGTTTCGGGTTACACTTTGCACCATTAAAATGCAAAGTTCTCTAAGACTGGCAGGAACTCACTCTTGCACTGACCCTTGAAGGTGATCATCTAGAAGTCTCTGAAAAATTCAAGTATTTGGGCAGTGATATCGGCGCCCGTAGGATAGAAGATGAGATCACGAACCGTATGGCGAAAGCTCGCGGTGATTACCAATCTCCGCTACCTCTGGCGCCGGCGTTATATCACTCTCGCTCTGAAGGACAGAGTTTACGATGCAGCCGTCCGTACAACCCTCCTGGATGGTTACGAAACTTGGCCCGTCAAGTCGACGGACATAAAGAAGCTAGTTACGCTCAGCCGTCGCTGCCCTCGTAGCTCAGCTCATGTCTGGTGGGAGCACCGCGTCAGCAATAAGCGTGTTCGGCGTCCCATAATTGGTGCAGGGAGAGCGAGTGAACCGCTCAGCAGCACTATAGCACGCATCAGGCTCCGATGGCTGGGCCACGTGATGCGGATGCCAGCTCATCGACGTGTATTGTTTGCGTGCCGGGGTGTGGATGGAAAAAGAGGAGGGGAGGACAAGCGAGGACTCGGTCGAGAGGAATGAAGTCCCTCACTTCGAAGTTGGCGTCGGTTGGTGAATCCCGACTATCTAGCTGGGGACCGGAGGATGATGAACACGTTAGGTTGGATACACTAGGTGACATGGTGAAGAGTCGACTTCAATAGCGTTTGTGTTGTGAGTTTCTTTGTCGCCGCGCTTCCCTTTAGCCTCGCACTCCAACAAAGACCACAAAGGTGATATTAGCATTATGCTACATTTTTATAACTTTTAGGTCTACATTGCTTAATATTTTATCTTTTTTGTATTGCGGCACAGTAGCCTAGAGGTAACGAGTTTGTTATTTACTCTTGTAGCGCGGGTTTGAATCCGCGTAGAGGTGGGTCTCCTCGCGGTATAATCAGCCCGCGTGCGACTGGCATCGAAGCGCCGTTACGGCGTACAACTGGCACATCATTTTACTTTTTTAGCTGGGAGGTGTTTAACCCTCGGCTAACGTGTACTGATGATGTTGGTGACTGTTTTAGATACGACAAGTAGTCACGATGTGATCAAGTTACGTCCATGACTGGTGAGCGCCATGCCATCCTCCGGGGAGTGCTGTGTCGGAAGTTAGTTCGGCAAGAAGTAGACGAACATCTTCACGCAGGTGTAAGAACCACTCAACGTTATCATTACAGGAGCCTGCACAGTGTTGGCCGTCCAAATACTGCCAATTAGTGGATAGCATTCCAACTTCAGCGCTCAAATCACCATCAAGAACCACAATATATGCACTTTTCCTGTGACGAAGGACTTCGTCCAGTCAGTAACAGAAGTCAACTTCCACGAGTTCGTCCTAAAATTTGTGAGGGCGTAGTCCGCAATGACAGATGGGCAGCGTTTGCCCCCGCGCGATTTCGAAACTATGGAGGAACCAACCAATCTGATTGTGATTCAATGGATAAGGGCAGCTTCAACCCGAGAGCGTGACCAGCATTCGGGACTGCATTATCTCTGGATAGACATAGTGCCAACAGTGCCACATGCAGAGGATTATAGGGTAAGTACAGAGCTGGAGTTTTGCAGGTGAGGTTCCGATAAGCAGCAGATATTGATCGACAGGGTCTCTAGGGTCCGGGCAAGTGCTGCCTGTTAGCTAATCTGTAACAAACTGCGTGTGTTAAAGCATGCCATTACCATTAACAATCGAGGACCGCTAAGAGAAACGGATGAACTGATGTTGTCCACTTGATTGAACATGGTTGCAGATTGAACCGGAGCGACGCTATGCGATTGCATGTCATCGGAAAGTAGAAGACAAGTGGTTACAGAAGCAGGGTAGACAAGTGCCAAGAATTGGGGGGTTAAAAAAGGAAGATGAAAATGAGGTTAGAAGGGGATGATAGGGGTGAAAAAGTGCGATAGAGGAGTAAGAAGGCGAGAAGGCTTGAGCAGTCGTATCCAAACGCTTATCCACCCTGCTCGATGAAGCAGATAGGGCGTCGTTGAATATCCTCTGCGACGGTCAGAGTATTAAGAAACTGAGGTTAGATTGTGTGTGGGTCGAAATAAGAAGATAACCTATTACTGAATAAAAATGGGGGAAGGCGAAAAACTGGGGGATTGAAGACAGTGGGAATGAAAGTGAAGTTGGAACGGACAATAAGGATAAAAAAAGCGTAATAGGGTGGTTAAGAAGACGGAAAGGCTTAAGCAGTAGCATTCAAACATCTACCCACTCTGACTGATGAAGCAGATAGGGTGCCGTTGATTACCCTCTGCGACGGCCAGAGCATCAAGAATTTGTTTGAAAGTAAGGTTATGGTATTGCGTGGACAGGGTATTGTCAGGCTGCCAAGGCCTAGACAAAAGAACGGAAGTCTTTGGTCTAATACCTGACCATAAGACAGCGCAGTTTTGGCACTTGGCTATGGAGAGACAGTTTCATGGAGTAAGGTCCCAACCTGTAGGGTCAGGAGACTGAGTTTGTGTGGCCCCTAACCACTGACAGATTGGGTACAAATGACTCTGAAGATCATTCATGATAGTTCAATGGATTGTTGAGGCACTCAAACCATCGTACCTCGTTACGATCTAGTTTTGCTCAATAGCCTGATCCACAAGATAGTGGGGAACTAGCCCAGCCCCGCAGCGTGGTTGCAGATCCAATGGGATTTGCCTGACACCTGTCAAACGCAGTCTAAGAATAATTAAAACAGTTAACATGTACCTATTTACCGTAGCTTGGTACGTATCTGCTATCAAGGTTAACCGAAGGTGGGAGTTGGCGGGTTTGCACCCACAGGAGGCGAACCGTGCCGTCTCGCCATCAGAAAGAATGCGTGGTGTTCGCGCTTTATGCCAATTGAGCTGAGCTTGTTACCTGTCACGTTTCATTTCCTATGAAGACGTTTTAATAGAAAAAAGTTATCTACCTCCTCCAAACCTCCGAGGAGGATCGTGAGAATGAGCTGGTCTGAATCCTAATCATCGACATACTTGGTATCAGCATCTTTGAAGGTATTTAGGAAGCACCGCTGAGTGCAGATCAGTGGGTCACAAAGTCCAGTTTACCAAGATGGATCACCACGGTGGAAAGAGGTTCACGCCAGCCAGGTCCCACGCGATTCACAGAATACAGTGCTTAGTAGGCAGTCTAAAGCAGGCGATGCTCCTACAGGCGGCTACTTCAAAGTTAACAGCGGGCTTAACGATAACAAAACCATCAAAAATGTTGGACGTTTCTATCAGGGTCCCTTTCCGTGTGCACCGTTGTAATGAAAATCACCCAAGACAGTAGCCGATATTCACACATATTTAAGATATGGTGACCAGATCTAAATGCGGCATTAAAGGCGGCTTAACCATCGCATTGTGGAAGAGGATGTAGAAGCTTCAAAGTTGCGCTGTGCCATATTCAAGAGATAGAGCCGTCCTCATCAAAACGCAGCAATACAGACGGCCAAAATAAGTTTGCACTACGGGTCCATGTAGAGTGGAGATCAAGCGTTGACCATTGTCAACGGTTAAAGGTAAATCCAACTGGCAGACCGAATTCGTCACAGCTCTCATGTCTTAGGTGTACGCAGCTAAATGCTTCATGTTGAAGAGGTTTGATTTGTCCTATAGAAGACTGGTACACTGGGGACTCCATTATGAATGAGAAGCGTTAGAGGATCAATAAAAATACAGGTATGCTTATGTAACCGTCCATGAGTGCAGAGTTTAGTTTTGCTCTGGTGGCTCACTGATGTTTGTATAACGCATCATATCGCTATTCCTATTGGCTATTTGGAGTCGTTAATTTTGCCTTCAGATCGCAGCCATACTGTGTGCACTTGATTGGTTCCTTATTTGGTCAGTATTTATTGGCTTTACTTGTCCGCACGTTTTCCGTACTCTGTTTGGCATTCACGACTGTGTGTCATACTATATAAAGTAGTGATTTGCTTATGTAAAAGAGCCCATGAATCCTTGTTTCTGGTCGTTCGTGTTCGCACGACCGTTAGTGGGTAGAAGCAGTCGCGGGGTGCCGACACAACAATAGGTATGCATAAGCTAGCTTTAGCAATTCGGACAAACATATCGTCCCATAGAGAAACCTCGGCATTTGTCGGGGTTAGGAAAGAAATATAATCCGGGTCAGCTTGTTAGATAAAAAGTAACACTGAACACAAACTTTTCGAAAAGGAGTCCATATTAAAAGCGAACCTTCGTGGCCTCTCCCAATTTCTCCGTCAGATATGAGGATACATAATGAAATCATCAGTAGACGATAAAACATTGGAGATAGTGATTGATATGCGTCTGATCGAGAACTCTGATGGTTTCTGTATCCAATGGGTAACGTGGTCGTAATAGACCCGGGAAGCTGGAAGGCAAAACAGATACCTCGTAATTGGTTAGATGAAACTATCACAAGCACTTAATAAGAGACCAAACCGTATGTAAAATGCACATGGTTAAGACAACGCAAAAAGCTTGTTGCTGTTGTCACAACCACTGAGCTGGTATCGAAACGCATAACTCCAGTGACTGATTTTCCTGAACGGAAGTGGCCAATGCGACGCCCTGATTGACCGTCTCTTGTGCTCGTGGCTGCCCGAGTGAGACATTTGGGGCAAATTGAAGTCACTCAAAGAGATATTTTCAGCACAGCCTCAACACATGCCATGAATTTTCCCTGGTCGCAAATACCGTATACAATCAGCGGAAACCGATTCCCAAGTAGTCATGACGAAACACTGTAGACGTATGGCTACACCGAAAAACTTATGCGACCGAAATTCGTCCAAAGTGTATTACACTGGGAGGACGAGGTGCAAATACGGTCACTCGGTGTTAAGTTGGTGTACGATTTTTTAAACAGACCGGTGGTGTTGACAATACATGATAATAGTCATATGTGTATTCTTTTATTCTCTGCGAGTAACCGAAAGCAAGCCCAGATAGGGCGGCTGGCAGTCCATGAATTCCGACATGGGAACCTGAACAGAATGGACAGTGCTCAAGCCCAAGTTCAAGTGGGGCCGGAACGACTATCCCGTGATTCATTTTTCAGCAGATCGTTGAAGCAGTTGATGAAATGCAATAGGTGGTTGAACTAAAACAAAGCCTCATCCACTTTAATCAACCAAATGTTGACCTAGTAATTCCTGTTGGGCAGTTTGCGTGAAGGAAGAAGAAACGGTAAAATCAGACGACGAGAAAAGGAACGGAACAAAATAATTATGACACCAAGGTATGTAAAGGATGAAATAAAAGAAAGCTGAAGATAAGAGTCAGTTAGGTAGAAGCATCGTTACACGCGTTAGCTATAAGTGGAAAATACTTCAGCTATTGTGCTCCCAAGGAGTATTAAGTTGAAGATCAAGGCCCCTAGCCCCAGGTTCCCTAACCATGTGATCTGGAAGCGAACTGCAGCACCCAACAACTAGGCGCGACAGACGAGTTTTCGCCTTAATCCGACCAGAGCACAATTTGTACAGTTTCGATCAGTGACAGCAGAGATTAAGTAACTTAGTGGGAGTAAGCCGCCAATTTTTGGCCAATATTTCTTGTCCAAATACGGTAGGTGAAAATTAAGTCTTCTCTAAACAGGCACGTCTTTTCAATCGACATACGGTTAATCCGCCTGGATTCCACTCAAGTGCACAATTTCCGTATCTAGAAATGGCTTCTGCGGCCCGAACACTTTGACATGGATCCAAACGCATCCTATGCAACAGAATCATAAGAACAGTGGTTGTTAATATTTACCAATTTCTTGATGATTATTGATATACGTAAAGCTGACAAGTTAAAATACTTTCATTTCCATGCACCAGCTGTATAAAATTATTGTTCGATATCCTTTGTAGGAATCAGCACTAACAAATCATTCTATGTGAAAGCAAAAAATGAAATGTTCCCGCGTCATCTGTTAGCTACTTGCAAACAAGGGTCTAGCGAAAAGCTCGGTCAGTTCAGACAGAGACTTCGAGCACTCACCACAGTAATCTTAAACCCGTGAGTGCTGAGCAAAACCAAAGATGATGCTATCCGCGATGCATTTATCAGTGGGGCATAACACCTTAAGAATACAGGTTTCCTTTGATCAAACTAAGTTCTTAGACTTAGCTCAGAAATAAATTCGTTCATTTGCGTCATCAGTGCCAATCGTAGCTTGCAACATCATAGTTGATGAATCCACTGGTAATGAAAAATCAGAGACCAGTTGGCCGTTGGATGCCACGTTGGCTACCGCTCGAAAAAAGTTGTCAGATAAATGCTATTTTGTGGCTAGGATCACCATCATTATCATTGTACACGTTAACTGCAGGTGAAAAACACCTCAGGTATTGTACCACAATACAAAAGACAAACAAATACAACGACGGCTGAGTTACCAGTAACGGAGGGACATTGCTCCAGAGAGTTAACAGCCGGCTTTTGTGCCGCAAAAAAGTTATATTATGCCTAATAATTGAGATCGTGGTTGGAGGGGGAGGGACAAAGAAACGCACAATACAAACGTCATTGAGATTGAGTCATGTCAACAAGTGTACCCAGCTAAACGTGTTCATCGTCCTTCGGTCCCCAACCAAGGAGTCGAGAGGCTCCAACCGAGGCCAACTTCATTCCTCTTGACCAAGTCATTGCTTGGCCACCTCTCCTTCTTCCATACACAATCGCGGCCAGTAAATGTGGCGAGAGTCGGTGTGCTTGCATGCGCAACACGTGGCTTAGCCATCGGAGCCTGGTGCGTTTGCGCCCACGATCGTCATCCTCGAGACAAGTGTCCAGTTAGAGACAACCTGAAAGTCGTGTGGAGAAAATGGACATTTTCAGAAAGTTTGTCGTTCTTATACATCTATGAGACAAACTGCATCTGTTCCGCCGTTCGCCGTTTCGTCTATCACCACCGCAGCTGCTCCTGTATGCCTTGCGAAGGCTATCATGGATGTCACTGTCAACGGAATTAAGCTGAAGGCGTTAATCAACGCAGGAAACTCTGAGAGTTGTATCTGTGAAACTGTTGTACAAATACATTGTTGAGCAAAGCTGGTCTCACACAGTGAAACTGTTAAGGTTTCTACACAACTGAGTAGTCAAAGCAAAGAGTGCTGGTTTGCTTCGCTCGTACACAAAGGAATGTAAAGTTGTAAAGTTTTCGAGACTTCCGGACATGTGCATTGAGATCTTATTAGGACATGATTTCTTAATTACAAGCAAACGTAGATAAAACTGTAGACGGTAATCGACCTCTGTTCCTTTAGTGGCACTTCAACTGCTCAGTTATCTCCCCTGCTCTGTTCGCTCATCTATATCTCACATGTACTCCACTACGCACCAAATCACAAAGGCATAATTCTGCAGACGAGAATATGACCTAACTACTGTCCTCTGCACGAGCAAGAACCTGCATGATAATGAAGGATGGACCGGACTATGTCGCAGATAGGTTTCACTCCACGATGGTCGGCTATCGTCCCCCTTGGCTAGGTGGAATAAGCTGCTGAGTAGGTGTGCAAGGCACTAGCAGTTATGGGTTCGGTCCTCAGCATGGGACCGAAGGAAGGCGCACCAGTGAGGAGTCCCATTAGGATGAAATGATCGTCTGGTGCTTTTCCGGATTGGTAGCTTTCCTAGGCGGCTTGTAATCTAATTGTGATGAGCCAAATAAATGATAACTAAATCCGTCTACTCAGTAGTAACCAAGTCGAGATCGATAAGCATAATCGAGTCTTGGAAATCATCTTGGAGTGTAGTAGTTCTTGCCACCACAAACGAACGATAAAAAAGGAATAGTCATCAAGTATGGCCAAATCATGAACCGTTTCATGGAACTGGATGCGTATCAGTCACCGCGCATAGTTGACTTAATCGAGATATCTCATTTTGGGGTGTTCAGCAATCTAGATCTAGAGTGCCTATCATCAAATCCCTATGAAAGAAGACGAGAAAAATTATACAACATTTAAAATATGCAGTAACTCATAACGGTTTTTCCCTACACCTTTTGGGGTAACCAACGATGTTGCATGCTTTCATAAAACTATGAATTGATTCGCCACGAAAATCTTCAGGGAATATGTCTATGTCGATATTATTACTGCGTGTGTGTGTGTGTGCGTGACAAAAACTTTCAAACTCCTTGCGCGTCGCTGTAAAGTATGGAAAGACCCTAAACCGTAAAAATGCATATTCGCAGCCGAAGAAATTCGATGGCTTCGTTACGAGATTTCGTTGGGCACAGGGACGTCGGACTCTGATCACTTTAAGCCGCCAATAATGCTACCTGCGCCAAAGGATCTCAAGTGACACAAAAAGTAGTTGGATGTTTGTCAGATATTCCCAGTGGTTTTCATACTTATAAGGTAAGATTCATCCGCTCGTTCATATAATACTTTCAACTGCCAAGCAATGTTTCGGATGCGTAGGAAACATTAAAGGCAGAACTAGTCAAAGCAGCCGTGATCGCTGTTCGCAGAAACATACCATTACTGATCGAGACTGACGCACCTGATGTTGTTATTACTGCAACACTCAACCAGAACGGTCGACCGGTTGCATTTTTCTCACAGTTTGATCGGTAATGAGCGAAACTACTCTTCCGTGGAGAAAGAGGCCTATGCTATTGTGGAAGGTATCAGAAAATGGTGGCACTATTTATTTGGAATCCATTTTAAACTGATAACTGACCAGCACTCAGTTGCTTTCATGTGTGATACAATAAATATTATAAATATTATAAATGGGTGATACAAACCTGGGGAGAAAGATTAAGAACGATAGAATATGGAGATGGCGAATCGAGCTCTCTCAATTCTCTTACGATGTGATATGTCGGCCTCATCATCATCATCATTACACGTTAGCAGGAGGTGGAAAACACCTCATCTATTGTGTCGCAATACAAAAGACAAGAAAAGGAAAACAGTGGCACGCCCGCTGAGTCCCCAGTAACGGATGGACATCGTTCCGGAGAGCTAACAGCTGGCTGCCGTAAAAGAGAGTCGTTTTATGCCTAACAAGTGAGATCGTGATTGGAGTGGGATGGTAAACAGGAGGGGGATGGACAAAGGAACTCACAACACAAACGCCATTGGGGCCGGCTCCAAGCCATATCAGCAAGTGTGTTCAACCAAACATGTTCCCCGTCCTTAGGACCCCAGCCAGGCAGTCGGGATGCACCAACCGACGCCAACTTCGAAGTGGGGGTTTTCATTTCTCTCGACCAAGTCATCACTTGGCCTCCCCTCCTCCTCTTCCAACCGCACCCACAACGCGCAAACAATGCACGTCGCGGGAGTCGGTGTGCTGGCATGCGCAACACGTGGCCAAGCCATCGGAACCTGGTGCGTAACATAATGGTGCTGAGCGGTTCACT